TCATCACAGAGGGCTGTAAAGCACCGTAAAGTGGTATGCAAGTCTAAGTGCTATTGCTATTACTAACTGTAACCCAAAACACATATACATGGAGGTCACCCTGTCTACCCTGTTGTTGAGTGAGACAGTCAGCGATGCAGAATAAACCGAAGGAAAAAATCAATGACAACCTGTGCACCACTTTGCTACTTGTTAAGTCATGGGAACTGGCATCAATAAGAACAAAGAGGAACAGTAATCTCTGCTTACCTTCCTTAGAGAGTGTGCAAATTGGACCTAAAGGTGAAGATCAAGCAAATGGATTTACTGGCAACTCGAGGCAAAGAGGAAATTGGATCAATAAGTCAATATTACTCAGGAAACCACCAAAACCTGGGGATACCTCTGATTCCAATTACTATGGGCCATATCTCCCTTAGACTATTGTGAGCCAAGTAAGATTTTACAGCTTCGGTCCATCAGTGGGGGAAAATGCAGTGGTTAGATGCGTGCATTTCAGATAGCTGAATTAGGTTTAATGAAAATACCAAAGACTACACAGGTATTCAGACTTATCTAGTAATCAAGGTAGATGTCAAAAAACAGAAGATGGAAAAATTGAAGTCCAAATCTCTGAGCAAATACTATGCCAATGAAATCTACAGTTCGTTTTTGGGGGGAGGGAATGGTTTGTAACCTGAATGCATTTGTTAATTATAGGTATCATCAGACATTTAAAGGTACAAGAGAGAAAAGTCCAGATGAGGATTAGAATCTGTTTTCAAAACTCAGAAAGATCATCTCAAGAATATTCTATCCACAGAATGGATGAGAGACAATGTGTTAAATGTTCTAATACAGAGGTCGCTAACCCCCGGTCTGTGGACCAGGGCCAAGCTGCACAAGCAAGTGAAGCCTCATCTGTGGGATGAAGGCAGCATCTGAAACCACGCCCCCTCCAGTACACGGAAAAACCTCTCTCCACAGAATTGGCCCCTGTTGCCCAAAAGATTCTAATAAACCATTTTGCAAGAGTAAACTGTCCTCCTAATGATGACTAAATTAAACCATTACTATTACATCACTGGGAGGTATTAACATAGAGTTGTTATCCTGCTTCCTATTTCCAAAGAGCAACATGGTGCTTCCTTGGAAGGATATTTCTGTTACATACTTCATTAACTTCCTGATGTGTAACAGGGCTCTGTGAAATTTGACCATGACAAAAATCAGAGGGGAGGTTGAATTGTTTTTCAATTAAATCTGACAGTACTGGCAGTGAGAGGCCACTAATACTGCAGGAGGCAAAGAGAACACATGATACTCTTTCAGAATCTCTGGATGAGGGTGCAGAACTGTGATCAGCAGTTTGTAAAATCCATGTGACCAGAAGCAAAGGGAATCTGGTGGAATGTTTGACAGAATCAGACTTACAATAAATCAAAACAACTGGGCAATTAAATGCATTTTACCTAATGGGAAATAATGATCCAGAGAAAATGTTCAGAGTTCAGCTTTTAGGATTATCAGATTTCTCCTTAACCTGAAAATTATCTTTCACCCAGGAACTTGGAATTTTTAATTTCACAGAAGTCATATTATTTTTAGCTAATTAAAATTATTTTGCAGACTACCAGTTGAACTTGTCTTAAGAAATAAGAGGCCTGTTTGGTGGGCACTCACTAAAGGGCGCACGTGTGTGTGTGTGTGTGTGTGTGTGTGTGTGTGTACTGCACAGTGGTGGGATTCAAATTTTTTTTACCACCGGTTCTGTGGGCATTGCTTGGTGGATGTGACAAGGTTAGGGTTAGGGTTAGGGTGGCAGAGGTGGTATTTGCCAGTTCTCCGAACTACTCAAAATTTCCGCTACCGGTTCTCCAGAACTGGTCAGAACCTGTAGAATACCACCTCTGCTGTATATGTATTAGCTATGTATGTGTACACACACACACCTAATTTAAATACAATATGAACAAAATGTGGCAATCAGTAATGAATACAATTCCTAGTAAAAAGATTTGCAAAATAAACCTTTAATCTAGCAATGTCCAAAAGGGCATGTGGTGACTGCAGCTCCTACAATTCTTTGCTCTGGAATCTATTTAGATGTCACAGCAGAGAAACCTCCTTTACAGCTTACCCTCCGTATCCAAATTTGGGAGGGGAAGAAAAGAAAACATGAGGTTTTGTTTTTCTTCAATGTAAATATCAGCCAAATGGCTAGAAAATACTCCAGTCAGTTCCATTCTATTTACTTCTTCGCTGTCCAATGTTTTGGTACAAGCTTTTCCTTTCCAAGATATACTGTAAGTATTGGTAATATAATTTTTAGAATAGCATTTTATTTCTGCAACTCTGTTCTACTCTGTGTTTGTCTTGCTTATCAAAGGGAGTTTAATGTGGGATAGAGAATGGGCAATGTCTTCTCTCTCTTTTCCCTGCCCCCTCATCCTCCCAGCAGCTATAAAATAGCTCAGCCCAGCCAGAACCAAGAGCTCAAGAAAGCTCCCACACCCCACCAGCTCCCACCTTCCATTCAACCAAAATGGGCCACTCGGGCAGAGCAGTCCAGGAGTTACAAATAGGCCAGACAGGAATAAACAGAGCAAACAAAGAATATCCTGTCCACTCTGAGAAAAGCTCAAGAAAGTGATGTCTCCATTAAAATCCAAGGCAGGGAAGCTGCACACACCCCTGTCGACTTGGCTTGGCTAATAAAATGAAAGGGTAGGGAGGGAGGAAAGGCTTATAGAGGAAGTGGGGGAAGTGCTTATGAAGGCATGCTGATAAGCCCAAAAAATATTACAGCCAATATTTTTACAATATTATAATTTCACTCATCCGTTACAATGAAGCAGAGCACAAACTGTGCCATGTGCCCCCATCACCAACAACAACCGACCCCAAAAGTCCCATTCACTTTTCAAGTACATCCATTTGGTAGCATTCCCAAGATCATGTCTGGGGCTCATTGGTTTAGCTGTGGTTTCTGAGACCTCATGGCGTTATCCAATGTTTGTTGAGATGATTTAAATAAATAACTAGGAGCAGGAGAGGACAGCGTCTCTGATTTAAGAGGTGGTGTTGAATTTGGGACCGTCTTAATTGCAACACAGAGGAGCTACCTACTGACATAGAAGGGTATTGCTTACCTGGTTTGTAAGCTTCTTCCCCAAATGCTGACCTTCTAAATGTAAACAAACCACTCCATCTGTTTTGCACAGTTTTGATTAGCACTTGTGTAAAATTAACTGCTGAGGAAGCTTTAAGCAATACTACTTAGAAGTTAATGCTAGTTGCAGGGCTGAGGAGAGAAGCTGTACATATTCCCATTCCTTACCTCTATGTGTATTCACTTGAAAGTTTAAAGAGAACCTATGTACATATATCTTTACGTGGGTTGAGCCGTTTTGCACAACCTCAACAAATGTAATGCATTAGCCTGAACAGGATCCATTTATTTTAGCTGTATGTTTGAGACACAGAATTAGTGTCTTGGTGTGAATTAATGAAGCATGAATAAGAATGGATATAAGGCATCGTCACCAAATAAGCACAAGAGTACTGATGCTAAGAGAAATAAAAGGGAAGACAGGGAAGTAGATATCTTGTTGAATTATCTCTTCCTGTGAAAGCCATTGAAACAACAGATTATAGATACACACCTCTATATTTCAGAAATTAGAATAACCTCATTGAAATTCTGACATTCCAGCAAGTTTTTCAGTCTGGATTATTGCAATACTTGTATGTAATTATTACGTTTCTGTGTTTTTTCTTTCTTTTTTTTCTCTCTCTCCTCTCTCTCTCTCTCTATCTCTGTCTTAAAAATGTTTTTAAAAGTTTAAGATGAGACAAGAGATTAAAATTACTTAAAAGGCTAAGGGAGGGGCTTCAGGGGACTAACCAGCTCCAGGGCTGCATGCTCCCTTGGGCTCCTCATATGATGCCACAGTCTTAACTCCGTTTTTGAAGTCCAAAAGAGTCGGGGCCTGTCTCATCTCCAAGGGAAGAATATTCCCTAGGGCTGCAGAGAAATCTCACCCCCAGAGCACCCCTCCAAAGCAATTAATCCAGGCTGTGCAGAAACACAAGGCTGCGCCGCCCACATGGCCCGCAGGAACGCTCCCCGCCCACTCACTCCTTACCCGGCAAACTTGCCTGCTAAAATTGCTATTTTTCTTTTTTCCGACCATCATCTATTCTGCTGTGCTGGGAGATTTAGATTAGCTAGGAAGCAGGAAATGGTTGGTTCTTGCTTTCTAGCTCGTCTTTAGATCTTCGGCTTTGCTTCCCTTAGGACTGAAGGTTTGCTTGCAAGCAAATTCAGTGCAGACTCATGGCAAGCAAATTTGAGAGACTGAGTTAGCCGATGGCAGATAGATAAATCACTGAATGATTCTGTGAGCAACTCAATCTGCCTGCTTTGCCTGATTTGGGGTAAAAATTGCTTTTTTATAAAAAAAAAATCAATATTTATATACATGGTCTGTTGTGAGTTAATTTTGTGAGTTTGCTTGCTAGCAAATATTATGAGTTTGCTTGCAAGCAAATTTTATGTGACAGACTGAGCTAGCCAATGGCAGATAGATAGATTTCTGAATGAATTTGTGATTCTGTGAGCAACTCAATCTGCCTGCCTGCTTTGCCTGATTTTGGGTAAAAGTTGCTCTTTTTATAAAAAAATTCAATATTTATACAAATATTTATATTTACATACAAGCCATGCTCAGCCTATCACATGACCACCAAGCCACACCCACAAATTAGGCCATGCCCACAGAACCGGTTAGTGGTCCCTGGGATCTAAAATTATGAGTTTGGTGGTCCCTGAGGTCCAAAAGGTTGGTGACCCCTGCCCTAGGGTAGGGGTGATGGCAGTGAAGGATCTGTTCCTAGATCCTAGCAGTTGGGATTCTTTAACTCACAGGGTCTGCAACATACCTTTCCTGTCTGACCGAATGGAAAGGGGTGGATGGGAAAAAGATATCCAAATTGCTATCATTCAAAAGATTTCTTACCTCACGAAAATATAACAGATTTCCAATGAAAGGCAAAGGCGGAGGATGACGGACTCCCACTTTATCAAGCCTGGAGAACGAAGAGGTGGTATGCCTGGATTTTAAAAAAAGGGAAAAAGTTTTCACAGAGTTGAAGGAATAAGGCTCAGAACTCAGGTGAGGGGATAGCTGTGAAATCCAACTGGTGCAGCAATCATGGGGAAATCCCAGAGTCACTTGCAGTGCAAGATGGGATAAGAACCTTTTGTTCCATTGTTATTCTCAAATGTGCTATTGCTTTACTTCAGAAAAGGCTGTTGATTTAAGCTCTAGATATATGAAATAAAATCAGATTCAGTAGTCTTCAATTGCCCTAATATCATACAACACTGTGAAATCCAACCCTACTGATCTTACTTCATCAGCCTTCACCCATCTGCTATCTGCTAAATAATTTTGATTATGGCCTTCATGGGCCATGCAAGCTGTAGATTTATGGAAATTATCATCTAACACAGCTGGAGAATGCTACACAGAGAAAGTCATTTGAGATGCCTTCAATACAACTCAACAAGATCTGATGTTTATTTATGGAATTGCTTGCTTGCTTTCCAACATTTCGATCTAGTGCTGGCAAAGACACCTCAGGAGACAGTAATGGGAAAAATTCACTACTCTTTTTCCTTCATGGTATAATAGGAAATTCTGCTTTATATAATATAACATTTTTTCCTGGTACCATTAAAGCAGAGACAGGCAATCTGGTGGGAGAACATGAGCTATTCTGTGACAGGACACAACAAAAAAAGAACCCACAGTGAGCAAGGAGGTGATTTACAGTGAAAATGGGATTTCAAGGATGGTTCCTTATGGTTGGTTTTTTTCTTTTTCCAAGGGGTAAGCTTTTTTGTGGAAGGAGATAGCTAGGCCTAAAAGAAAGCTTGCATAACTTTTAATATTTGACTTTTCTCTGCCCTCCACTCTGAAGAAAAAATATACCCTTCTTTTTGTCAAAGGCAGAATTTCTGGGTGTTCATGATCACAGCAATGAAGGCCAAGCATGGATTGTCATTTCCTATAAATACTTTCATAAGATTATTTTTCTTCAATTTTGTGAGAAAGCAGAAACAAATGCTGGCTGGTACTCCAAGCAGATGAGCATGGTTTTCCCATCATTGCTGAGTTTCAGATTCTTCTAGTAGTTTTCTCATAGAAGAGCAAAATTGCTCTACAACTCTTCCTGTTAGCTCACATTATCAGAAAACTATTCTACAGGTGTAAGAAAGAAAAGGCCAGCCAAAGGCTTCAAAGCTGCTGAGTAGAGTACTACTACCCTGAATAGGGTACTATAGATACCAACAAGCTTTGAGTAGGGTGCTATAGATACCATCCAAAGGTCACCAAGAAATTGCTATTTTTAATGTGACAGAAATTAAATACAGAAATTAAATTGTTATTAAGTACAATAGATGCAAATTTGAGGGGTTAATCAATCATCAATCAATTATTTTTTCAAAAATCAATCCAGCAATGAACTCGAACTCCTTTTCTCCTTCCTTTTCATCCTCCTCCTCCTCATCTTCATATCCCCCAAACTCTTCAAAGCTGGATCAGCTACATGCAACATTCAACATTGTACAGCTGCACCAGATGTGCTTTGACTACTGCTAATGCTCAGATATTAATCCAAATTAAAACATAGCTGGAAGATGAAATATGGGATTTTGCATTAGCAAATGAATAAGTGTTGAATAAGGCAGGTTGTAGTGCTTGCAAATCCCCATCAACTGGATTTCAAGAAGTTTTTATATTACAGAACATGTGTAAGCAGTAGTACTTTTGAACTTTATGAAACAATTTAGTAGATCCTAGCTAAATATGTATCCTGATGAGAGCAAATATCAGTCAACGTTAGTACCCTAAAAAAGCAAACTCAATAGGCATATTTTTTTTTATTGAAGTTAGGGACACATATGATTTTATACATTACTTGTCTTAAACACATTGTACAGGCAAATAGTGTCAATTCAACCCCAATAATCTTAGATATAAGCCATGGTTTATAAATCATATTGTGGCATAGCACAGAATGTGACATTACCCTCTGTTTACGATCCTTCCTTCTTTTGGCCTTCCAGTTGACAATGACAAAAATGTCACTTTTCCATAAATCCCAAAGCAATGGATTATGAATCACTCCATTTTTGTTTCAAATTTACCAGTCAACAGTAATATCTAGCAAAATCTGGGACAAATGTTTCACCAAAGCTATAAAGATATTTGCTACACACCAGCCAGTGGATGATATATATATTCAGGTTTTTCTCCCAATTCTATCCAGTGTATCCTAATTAATTCACTGTCAACCATAAGATAACAATTATTTATTCATTTATATCATGCAGGAAATTTACTAGGTACTAAATAACTTCAAAATAACACCACAAATATATTTTTATACTTTCTTCCATCTCTGACAGAGGGAAACAGATACACTTGCTTGCTGTATATTTAGTGAAAAAGGTATAGTAATGAGGAAATCATAATGAGCTAGCCACGATTATAACATGCTCCAAGGAATTTCTCCACTAACAATATCTAGGTATATCTTACTGATACTAAAGCAGAGGTGTCAAACTCATGGCCTGCGGTTCAGTTCCGGCCCATGGGGTGCTTAAATCTAGCCACTGGGGCCCGGCCTGGAAATAGCAAAGGACCGGCCTGTGGTGCCTCTGCCGGCCAAAATGGAGAACAAAGTGCTGCAGAAGGTTGTCCAGGCTAAAAACAGGGCACCGAGTGTGTGTGTGGAGGTAATATATATTTCATGAATCTCATTCTTGAATACTGTCAACCATAGTCTGAACTTAACAGTGATCATCTCGTGGTAGCAGAATTACAGGGTGATCTTCCCTTCTTAGGGATTAATCCATTAATGACTAAAACTGAATACACAGGTAGTCCTCAACTTATGACCACAATTGAGTCCAAAATAAGTGAGACATTTGTTAACTGAGATTTACTGTGACCTTCCTTGACACAGTGGTTACGTGAATCACTGCACTTGTTAAGTCAGTAACAGGTTTAAGTGAATCTGGCTTTCTGTTTGATTTTGCTTGTTGAAAGGTTGCAAAAGGTGATCACATTACTTTGGGACACTGCAATAGTCGTAAGTATGAGTCAGTTGCCAAGCATCTGAATTTTGATCACATGACCATGGGGATGCTGCAATGGTCCTAAGTGTGAAAAATAGTCTTAAGTCCCTTTTTTCAGTGCCATTGTAATTAAATGAACTATTGTAAATAAGCTGAGTCGTAATTCACATGTTGCAATGTTGTGAATAAACAATGATACCATAAACTATGAACCATGGTTCTATAAATCATCGTTTATAAACAGTGGTTCATATAACATACAAAACTATAGCCTATTATGGCTTAGGGCAACTAAGTGGCCTTATCTGACAAATGGATGATATTATTCAAGAAGGAAAATGCAGCAACTATTTTATTTATTTATTTTTGACAAAAAATGGGCAGATAAATATTTTGAAAAGATAATGGGTATATTTGGGCAAATTGAAATAAAAAAGCATGTTAATTGTATATAAAAGGAAAGCTTTTCTAATGGTCTGTCTTAAAAGATGTTACAGTCATCCTGGTTTTTTAAAAATAGAAATTTTACAAAATGTAATAATATGGTGCAAGTTGCAATTCTGAAATAGACCAATTTTAAAAATTGATTTGATATCTCTGAGTCCAGATATCACAGCCCAAGTCCCCAAACGTAATCTCCTAATCACATGTTGCAGAAGGACCCTAACATACAATTTTTCCTTGATGAGTTCTGGAAATGTACTTTCTTTTGCTTTGTATGCTCTTAACTCGGGCAGAAGCACAGAACATTTATTATGCCTTTGAAATGTGATATTTTTAAAAATGTTTCAATGCAATTTCAACTAAGCAGCAGAAAATTTCATAACACTTTTTCATCATATAATTACATGTCTTAATTATATAATTTGATGTCTTAATTGCATAATTAAAAAGACATGATGTTTCAGCTTAATTAGACATCTTAATTATTATGCAAGATCATATGCTAGTATTGCAATCCCCTTTGCAAATGTAAAAGAAGTGCTTCTAGATATAACTTCAGCCATTTTGAGATGTTAATAGGATGAATGAATTTTGATCTGAATACACTGAGACACATGAGAAGCAGATAGAAGCATCTGCCCTGTTGTACCATTAATATTCTTTGCGTTAAAATGAGTAAGATGAGCCACTAACTCTTCTACCTTTTAGAAACAGCACAAAGGTATTCCTTGTAAATTATTTGAGATATGGTTACAGTCTCAATAAAACTATCCAACTTCTCGAAGATTCATAAGAGAATGTTGCTCGTATGTTGTCAGTTACACACTCAAGCATCCAGCCCTTTGGTACACCATATGCTCATCATTTCACAGTTGACAAGTCAGTATACACCAGTCTGTTTTACATACTGGGCAAAAAAAGAAGATACAATTTATAATAGTGAATAATAATAATGCACAAGAAGAGAATGGTTCAGATTGATAAAATTTAAACAAAGAACTTTTAAAAATTGCAATATACTGGTATTTTTGACTTATGACCACAATTGAGCCCAACAGTTCTGTTGCTAAGTGAGACATGTGTTAAGTAAATTTTGCCCATTTTGTGACCTTTCTTGTCAAAGTTGTTAAGTGAATCACTGCAGTTGTTAAATTAGTAACATGGTTGTGAAGTGAATCTGGCTTTCCCATTGACTTTGGTTGTCAGAAGGTCACAAAAGGTGATCACATGACCCCAGGATATTACAACAGTCATAAATGTAAGTCAGTTCCCAAGCATTTAAATTTTGATCACGTGACCGTGGGAACAGGATGCCGCAAGTCATAAGTTTGAAAAACAGTCATAAGTCACTTTTTTCAGAGCCGTCGTAACTTTGAATGGTCACTAGATGAACTGTTGTAAGTCAAGGACTACCTGTAATTGATAAAGGAAGGCTCTGTGCTTGCCCAGTGTGAAATTTGGGCATGTAAGATCTGTAGATCTAATTCTTAAGAGTTGTATTATATGCAGGCATCTTCAA